CCTTCCTTCCTTCCTTCCTTCCTTCCTTCCTTCCTTCCTTCCTTCCTTCCTTCCTTCCTTCCTTCCTTCCTAATTTAAAAGACCCACATTTGGATCCAGAACTTAGCCCTGAGTTAGTGATAAGGGGCTTTTAACCCACTCATTGTTTACATAAAGATATGACATAAAGATCTGATCCACAAACATACACATTTTTAGCAAAGTAAGTTAGGGATGGATCGTTGAAATCACCATCTTCCCACACTGGAATTCCAGAGTAAAAAGAAGTTGTAGCTGTTACATCCATTTTTAGAATGGTTTGATGTTCAGCTTTTATGAAACAAAGTGATAGGGTGGGGAAAAGGGTTAGTGCCACTTTTATTTTAAAGGGAATTGTAGTTGCCCATCAGGAATGGGAAACCAATCACTTTGCAGAAATAGTTCACCTTGTTGCTGAACTACAACTACCAACAGCCTCTGCTAGATTAGGCAATGAAGATGGATGCTGGGTTTATAATATAATTGGAAGAGCCAACTTCTGCCTTATATTCTATTTCTTTTAACATTTTTTTAAAGTAATGCAATAACTTGAGTACAACATACATGACAATAATATTTTGACATATCTCCGTATATCTTGATGGAGCTTTTGGGGCTCCAAAGTTGTAAGCTTCATGTGTTTTCTTTGAGCAGCTAATCCAGGAATGCCATAAATAAATATTTTTAGTTTATTCTAAAATCTAACATTCTTAAAGGGCTCCAAGGGGTAGCTATTGTCATTTTGTGATGTCTTTGTTAACCAAAGTAACTGATAAGTGTTTGACCAAGAGAGGTAGCTCTATGTTAAAAACTTCGTGATTTATTTTCAATACCTGAAGTTTGAAGCTTGAAGATCCTATCAAATCCTTGCCTACCTCAGCCTTAGAAAACTAGATAATGAATAAATATTTTTTTTAAAAACTGTTAGTAAAAATCAGAAAAAAAAGCCCCGGAGCTTCATTTGACATAACAGTGAATAGAATCTATATATTGCTCATGTGCTTGCAAACAAATGCCTTTGTTTTTAGGCTATATAAGCTAAGATTCTTACCTTAAAGGTTAAAGAGCTATATCCTCATGTCCTTGTTTTTACTGGTCTGATTTCTTTCCTTTTATATTGCTTGAAATTATAAACACCAGGTGGTTTCTCTATACAAGTATCACTAGTACACTTACGCACAAATGAGATGGGTATGATTATTTATTCATTGAAATAGATATTGTGATGCTTTTTTATTTTTATTGAGATAAACGTTCTGATGTTTTGTAGTGCTGCTGCAGAAGTGACAATATCTCTTTCTATGCTTGATCTTGTTTTGCTTTAGGTTTTATACAAAGATATCATTGGAACAGGAACAGCAATTGAAAAAACACCAGAGACACAGAGAATTAGAAAAACCACAGATGCCATTAGCACGGTATAAAAAAATCAAAATGATTTAAACACACGCATACACACACACACACACACACACACACACACACATTCTTTGCTGTTTTAACTTATAAAATTGAGTGTCATTTATGCTAAGATTAGACTTAGTGTTGAATGGAATTAAAATATAATTAGATTGGAAGTGAAAGGGATAAATACGCATTGAAACAATAATTTTTGCTGTACTTAACAGTATATTCAGCAAAACCAATGAAGTTAAAATTAGGAGAAACTGGATCCAATCCATAATTCTTACTTTGATCCAGTGGCTCCGTTGCATGTATAACATTTCATATTTGAAAGGATTCTATTAAATATGAAGACAACAGCCTCTTTCATTCCTCATTTCCACTGGGAAGACTCCTTTGTGCATTCAGTTACATGCAATCATGAGCTATATCCTAGGTTTCAATGAAGAAAGTTCTAGGATTCAAATGGATGCATTTTGATACACCTGAACTGAAAGGCAGTCAGAGGAATACCAGCATTCACAACAAATGCTTATACCCAGCATGCCGAGATGAACATAAGTATCAAAGTTCTGCTTCCACTGTCAACAAATGTAGCCTTAAGTTTGTAGTGAAAGAGAGCTTTTGTGGGAAACAAAGCAAGATCAAAATGAAGAACCTGTGGCCTTCCACAGGTTACTACAGCTATAAATAGCCATAGCCAGCATGACCCAAGATAAGGATTGCTAGGAGCCTTAATCCAACACAGTTGGATTAAGATTAAGTGAAATGAGACGGATATGTACATCTCCTGTACATGACATCATTTTTTTGGTCTTTCTTCTGAATGCCACTTTGTAGATTAAGTACAAGGAACAGATTGGAAAAGGAACTCCCATTCCTGACCTTCCTGAAGTAAAACGGGTCAAGGAGACGCAGAAACACATCAGCTCGGTATAGTGCTAAATTTTATTTCTCTTTTGATAATGAGCTGGCAAATTATGACATGCTGCTGTTCACCCTACTAAAATGCTATTTGTTCCCCTTGTTAACATGTACTAACATAATCTCCTGTATTTTTAATGGGTATTCTTCTCGTTGTATTCCATCTCAAAGTTCCATTTGCTTTGCTAACTTTTGTATACAAACTTTGAAAGGAGAATATAAATGTATTAATGCTGAGCTGATTTTTAATATAACGGCAAAACTAATTGATGAAGTGCTTCCTATAAAGCTACTCTAAAATTTGCCATTGACCTAAGACAAGTAGCTTTGGCTGCCAATAAGCAGGAGTATTTAGTCAGTATGTTTGACAGGTTTCTGGATATACTTAGAGGCACAATCCTAGTACAATTACATTAATGTTTATTTGTATCTATTTCCTTAGCTTGTGAACTATGCATTATTTATTTAGCTTGTTTATTGATTCGTCGGTGGTGATCTGATTCCAGGCTTCAAATTAGCTTTTGCAACGTACCTCTTGAAATCTGATGTTAGGAATTAAAGTTTTGAAAGTTAGAAATTCTAAATAATTCACTACCCTTTACTGAACTTAATTTTTTAGCTTATTCCGTCAGGTAATCAAATCAAATTACATGGAGAAAAATCTATTTATATGGTCACAAAGAGCTGGAAACAACTTGATGGTACATATTCAATCAAATCTTAATTGGACACACATTGGGTAGTATAAACCAACGGTCCCAATCTTTGCAGATTGGCGGCCTGGCTGGGGTGGGAGAGGGGAACCGGGCTGCATGAACAGCGGCCTGGTGTGAATGTGTGCACGCAGTTCAACTTACATGAGTGGCAGGGCAGCACACATGCCCGACACTCATGATATACAGTTGCAAAATGGGCTGTGGTCCAGGGTTTGGGGACTTCTGGTATAAACCATTAGGGTGGTTATTAGAAATATTAATGTAGTTTAATAATCAGTATGATATTGTGCCACAGATTTGCCTGGAAAATAAGGCCATTATGGCTGACCAGGAAGCTTCAGTTGAGGTCTTTTTAAGGTAGTAACAATGCAGCATCTCTAAAGAAACCATAAAACTTCATCCATAGGTATCGTCTTCTCCTTTCTTGTTTTCTATACTGTCTGCTTTGCATGATGGGGTCAGAAAAATCAAGATACATGGCACACACTTCAGTTGTTTCTTTAAAATTATTATTATTACATTGGACATACAATCAGCCAGTTGTTTAGGCTGAGTTTGGCATTTTTGTCACCTATCAGGTCCTCACCAAGGATTAATTTAAATTTATTGTAGTTGCTCAACTCTAATGGATTCCAGTTGTATGATCACAGCCAGCATCTTGATTTTTTTTGCCTGCCCACCTGCTTCCTCATTCGTTTGACTAAGCTTTTCACCAATGAACTAGTTTTAAAATATGTTTTTGTAAAATCTGGTTCCACCAGACCACCAGAAATATATTTCATGTTTTAACTTTAGGTTTATATTATTTGTTTTTGTATTTTTTCAACTGACCGAATACTTGGCTCTAATTATAATTTTTCTATGTGAAGAAATCAGCATCTTTTTAAAGGAGTGAAATGCAGGACTTTTATTTTATTTTTTTAATGGAAGGACTTGGTGTTCTTTTTTCTCAATTTTTCTCATTTTTTTTAAAGTAAAAAATATGTGAGACTTGTTTGATATTATGTTTAAATCTTTCATATACTTCTTTTTTAAAAACGGCCTGATATTATGTTAAAGGATGTTTTTTAAAGTTGAAACAGAATTGTTATTAATTCAGGTATTTCAAATCTGATTCAAAAGGAACTTTCCAGATATTGGTTTCCCAAATAAAAAAAATTAAAGGGAATTTTATAGTTCCAAGCTTTTGTGATCTCTTTTCCCCAACCGGAGACCCATGAAAGAGTTTTAAATGAAATGTTCAGTGGAATACAGATGGTTCTCATTTATCAACTACAACTGGAACCAGCAACTCAGTTGTCACTAAGTGAAACATAATTTTACTATTTTATTTCAGCTTTCCTTGGCTTTACAGACCTGCAAAGGTTTGTAAATATGAGGACTGGTCACAAGTTATATTTTCATCACAGTCGTAACTATGACCAGCCACTAAATGAGACAATTACTTAATAAGAACCTTTTTTCCCCCTCATTTAGTCATGTCCAATTTTTGGCGACTGCTTGGACTAATCCTTGCAGTTTTCTTGGCAAGATTTTGGATGTGGTTTGCCATTATCTCCTTCCTAGAACTAAGAGAAAGCGATTGGTCCAAAGTTCTGCTGGCTTTGTGCCTAAAGACATGGCTAGAATTCACAGTCTCCCAGTTTCTGTCAGGTGCAAGTTATCAGGAACAGGAGTTTGGTTCAAAGTTCTTCAAGTTTATTACATGTTACCTATACACAATAATCTGATCTAATGGTGAAGGTCAATTGCCACTAAATAGGAATCAAGGGAATTCACAGATGGTTGGACTTAGGTCTCATACGGAAGCGCAGCAATTCCAAACAGATAATGCTTATGATTCCACCTTTGGGCTCCTTTTGGTCATCCATTACAGTTTCTAAATGGGTGTCTTAACCACTACACCAAACTGGACTATCCGTAGTAAAAACTGCAGTATTTCCATGTATATCTATCTCTCTAAAACAACATGTGGTGTTTTCAAAAGAGTGGAAACATTTCTCACAGCGCAGCTGGGTGTGTATGTGTGTGTACATATTTTTGTGAAATAAGTCTGTTAATCAACATTTGCATTGCGCCCTGATGTTTTCCTAGCAGTTATCCGATTTCTCATGTTGGTGGGTGTTTGTATTCTGCAGGTAATGTACAAAGAGAATGCAGGGCAAGGAACTGCAATACCAAGTACGCCAGAAATAGAGAGAGTCAGACGCAATCAAGAACACATTAGCTCGGTATTTCTCAATAAAATCAAATCTATTTTAACAACTCATAATTTTTCTTTAAAAAAAAAAAAGAATAATCTCTAACTATCCTACTCTATTTTCTACTACCTCCGATTTTTGTGACTCATCTCCCTTTCTAACTTTTAACTAATGAAAAACTTTATGCATCATAAAATAAGTTTTAAAAAATAAAACAAAATATAATGAACAATTTGTTCCCGTAAACTTAACAGTGTTTCCCTTCCATATGCTTTCCTTAACCTGCGATGTCATTCACATATTTAATGAATAATATTCTCTTTCTTCTAGCCTTTTCTTTTTGTGGCACTAGTCCAACCGTAGGATTTAACCGTGCATTATTTACTACCTACTACCAGTTGAAATTCAATTCTGGCTATTGCACTTCTTTGCTGGGGTCTTTTGTGGATACTTTATTGTACCCTCACAGGTGTCTTACAAAGAGCAGATTGGCACAGGAATGGCAACTCCTGTTACGCCAGAAATGGAGCGGGTCAGACGTAATCAGGAGAACATTAGCTCGGTATAGCTCAAAATATTTATCAATGCATAATTTTAACTGTCATGACCTTATGCTAACTTTCCTTTTAATTTTAAACCCTCCATGAGATTTTGACTATCTCTTCCTCTTCCTTTTAATCCCATCATGAGACGTGGACAATTAAAGCTTTAATTATTTTTGTTTTGCAGTGATTTTTAACTTCTTCTTTTCACCATACACCTTTCCTATCTTCCTACCCCTCCTCAAATAAAACAATATGATTTGCCTTAAACCAATATTCAGAGTGCTTTCCCTTTACCCTTATAACAGGAAATCTTTCTAATAGCTTTTGACAGCCACGTGTTGGTGCAATGCAAAGTTAGAATAACACTTTGATCCTAACTAATGAGCCTCAACAACTATTATAAAATATTTTTCTAAATGTTCTTTTGTTGCTAATCTTTATTTTTGTTAATGAAACTTTGAGACAGTTTGTGATTCTGGACAGGAAAATAAGAGCACAATTATAATCTTCCAAGTTCCAAACTCTGGTACAAAAGTTCATATGTACATGTATATATTTAAATGCCAACAATTTAAGGGTGGAGTTTATTTTTAAGAGGATTTTCAAATTTCTGTAGACTTCATGAAGAAAAAATTTCTTAAAGAAAATTGCACCAAATTATTTTTCTGTGCTGATTTTTTTTTACGTATATATTTCTTCTTACACAGGTATTATACAAAGAGAATTTAGGGTCTGGAACTCCAACAACTATTACTCCAGAGTTGGAGAGAGTCAGACGCAATCAAGAAATCTATAGCTCGGTATTTTTGTAGTTAAAAATGACCTTTAACTTTATTAAAATGGAATTAACTTACAAAACCTTGATATTACTCATTCCAAGTAACATAAAACGGTCATTTTTAAAAAATAAATAAAATAAACCCTTTATTTTAGTAATTGAATGGTTCAATTACTGACCTTTTTGGTTTATTTGATTTTTATTTCTTTAATGATCGTATGTGTATTCCCAACTCATATTGATAGTTACTGTGAAAAGTGTGGGAAGTAGATCAAAATAACAACAACATTTTGGATCTGTAGATTTAGGCTACAATCCAGCCAAAATTAAATACAATTAATTTGGTGGGTTTTTACTGAAAAAGCAAAGCTTATACTTAAGTCTACTGACTTTTCTTATAATAAATGGGCTTACAATGGAACTTTGGATCCAATGTAAAGTTTATTTCATTGGATGAAATTGCATTTCTTAATTACCACTGAAGAAGCTTCTTGGGTGAGAAATTAAATACTTTCAAGATGAAAGAAAATTCAAGAAAGTCCAGCTGCCTTTTGGGAAAAGAACCTTTATGTAGGCAGTTTACATTTATGATTCTGTGACAGTGTCAGCCAGGTTTTAAGGAATAGTCTTAAAGAATCATGGGCCAAATTATGCTATATCTTTTCAAATTGTAGTTCAGCTCAAAGATGTTCAGTAAAAGTTCAGCTTTGTATTTCAAATAACACAAAGTTCCCATTTGACCCCATTCAAATTATCATTTGAATCTTGATTAGCTGTATATATAATCCACTGATCCAAATAATATTGAATCTATCAATATAGTTAATTTTCCAATGGATTTATTTTGTTCATTATTTTGTATTCTAATAGTCTGGAATATTATTCACTTTTTTGCTGTCCCTGGAATATTGTTAACCATCTGGAATACAATCCTGACTGTGCTTTTCTTTTTTAACTCCTGTGATTCTTTTTAAAAAAATCATTTATTTAGCATATCTTAAATTGTAAAAAGAATATGGTCTAAATCTCCAATTGGGTAGAAGCAGGTGTATAGTACTTTTTCAGATGAAGTTTAGAAATTAAAAAAAAAACAATATGGACATGCTCAGAATAAAATATTGGAATCATTTTTTGCAATGATTCATAGCTGAATCTCATTTCCATCACTTCAACATCACCGTATGTCCTATTTCTGCCAAACCAGTAACCTTATGATATCTTTTGCAGTGGTTTCTTTGCTCAGTTCTGTAGGAGACTATTGTATTATTTTAGCATAACAAAAAGAACCCTTGATTTTACCACCATGGTATATAGTTTGATGTTTCCGAAATTTTGAATGAGTAATCTTTATCACGCAGTTCTACAGTTGCAGCATTGTTTACTCTCTAAAACAAAGCCCTTCCCCAGCCAGATTATTTTAAAAACTATTTATTCACTCTTTTATTAAATTTATATGCACAGTCTGAAAAGCGATTCTAATATAAAAGATCTAATGGAAAAATCTCTTGGGTAATATTACTGATATCTTAATGATAGTTTGGGCATTTGGGAGGATTACCAGGCCATTTTACAAGACTGCATTCTGATGTCCAAAATCTTAACAGTTTCCAACATCTTGAACCAATCTTTTCTGTCTTAGAGCAAGGAAGGGGTGATGGTGGTAGTGATGGAAATATCAAAAGAGTAAAGATAATGGCTGCAGCATCATGACTAAAGCCTCACATTATATATGGGTGGAGCCAAAGAGGTGTAGCTTGGATCATGCCATTGTGGTTGCCATCTTGTGTGTTTTGACCTTTCTGAACACATCACAGTGCAGAGCCTCCAAAAAATATAGGATGATGAATGAGTGACTCCCAACCACAAACTATGCGGCAAAATGTCATGTCTAGTTAAAAATAAAAACTACCGCATAGAGACAAACCTGAAGTTTTGAAGCACCTGTATAAATCCCACACATAAAAGCCATTTAAATATTTTAATTTTTAATATTCATTCTTCATAAACTTTAAAGGGTTTGTTAGTTGTATGGCCATGATCTACCTCAGAGGTATCTTAAAATACTATTGGGCTTAATCAAAACATAAGAGCCATGGTGGCACAGTGGTTAGAATGCAGTATTGCAAGCAAATTCTGCTGACTATCAGCAGTTCGATCCTAACCAGCTCAAGGTTGACTCAGCCTTCCATCCTTCCGAGATTGGTAAAATGAGGATCCGGATTGTTGGGGGGGCAATATGCTGGCTCTGTAAACTGCTTAGAGGGGGCTGTAAAGCACTGTGAAGCAGTATATAAGTCTAAGTGCTATTGCAATGGCTAAAAAGCCAAATTCTTACATCATTTAATAATCTTGGATGACTTAAACATTCCTGGCTTATTAAACATTGTGATTTGCTAGCAGCGTAGACAAAAGCAAGAAACCACAGAAAGAATATCGTGGAAATAGGACTTGGGAACGTTCTTATAACTTGGAAAGCCTCAGACTCATTCCCAGGAGGTTGAAGACCAACACTCTTGGTATATTTGAAGTGACTGCTGTTTTTCATTCTTATTTTTGTCTTGTCACCTTTTACCTTTTACCATGCAGGTCCTATACAAAGAAAACCTAGGGACAGGCACCCCAACTCCTGTCACTCCTGAGATGGAGAGAGTCAAACACAACCAAGAAATCATTAGCTCGGTACTTCTAGGAAACTGGCATTTTAATTCTCTTTTTTTTTTTTTAAATAGCTTTTTCCCAATCCCTGTTTCACCTTGCTAATGTTTTCATTGTGCTTTCTACGACACTTTGATCTTTGTTGTTCAGCTTATGATAGCATCATTTTGGAGACTTTTAAACCTTTCCTGCTCTTCGATACCTTGCCTCCAAATTATTGCCAAAATATAACGCTCCATTTTCCTGTCACTGGCGTGTTCGATCTTCTTTGAATACGATACAAAGATCCAAAACGCTCCTTCAAAGGATGACACTGTATGTAAAAAAATACTAGTGGCTGCTTTTCGAAAAAAGAAAACTTCTTATGATGCCACCATCCAGCCAGATGTCCTCTTCTCAATCAACTTCTTTATAAAGCATCAATAACCAAATCCTTCCATTTTAGTTATTGCTGGCTTACTTGGCTGCTCTTCTATCCCACAGGTGTTGTACAAAGAGAATGTAGGGAAAGCGACTCCAACTCCTGTCACTCCAGAGATGGAGAGAGTCAAACGCAATCAAGAGCACATTAGCTCGGTATTTGAAAGAAGAAAAAGAAAAGAATTCTTTAAATTCTTTGAAACGGTTTAATGATGTGTTAATGATGTCCCTTTCTAACTATCAGTAGTGCTGATTCATCTCCCAGAAAAAAGCCTCCTTTCTTTGGAATTTTTTCTTCAACTTAGGCATACTACTAAGAGTTGACTCACAATTTTTAATTTTCCATATACTTAGAATCCTCTCCACCCACCCACCCCTTTCAGCCTTTTTTATCCAGCTACATAATTTTCTTCCATGGTTGTTGATTTAAAAAAAATCTCTGTTCCAAGCAACAGAGGGAAATCAACAGCCAGCTATCTTCCCTGGAAGTTGGTGTGTTTCAAGTATTAACACCGAACGCTATTAACATCTTTTGAGGAACATTGCTGTTTTGTAATTCCCAGATTACCTTTTTATATCCTATAGGTTTTATACAAAGAGGACATAGGGAAAGGAACTCCTGTACCTGTCACTCCAGAGATGGAAAGAGTTAAATGCAATCAAGAATACATTAGCTCGGTATTCAAAAGAAGAAGAAAATTACCTAAATTCTTTGTGTTAATGACTTTGCTTCCTAACTATCAGTACTGCCAATTCACCAACCCCGCCCCAATCCTTGGAAGCTTTAGTTCAAGCTACGTTTACTATTACTACTAAGATTTGACTCACTACTTTTAGTTTTCAAAACATAGAGAAATTTCACATTTTTAAAGCTTTTCCGTCTTTCTTATGCTACCGGATTATTTTCTCTTGCGGGTGTTGATTACAGGTCTCTGTTCCAGATGACAGTGAAATCAACAGCCAGCTAGCTTCTTTGGAAGCTGGCGTGATTCAAGTATTAACACCCTATAAACTATTAATATTTTTCATGAACATTGCTGTTTTGTAATTATTGGGTACCTTTTTTTTGCATTCTGTAGGTTGCATACAAAGAAGATGTAGGGAAAGGAACCCCTACACCTGTCACTCCAGAGATGGAGAGAGTTAAACGCAATCAAGAACACATTAGCTCGGTATTCAGAAAAAGAGAACATTAAACAGATTTCTTTGAAATACTATAGATTGATGTGTTAATGATCTTACTTCCTAACTCTCAGTAATGGCTTTTTTGCCTATTACAAGCCTCCTGTCTTTGAAATTTCTTGCCCAGACCAGATCTACTTACGCTACTAAGATTTGCTCATTCTTTTTTTTTTTTTTTAACAAACACAGTATTTCCTCCCCTTTTGTTTTTCATCTTTCTTATCTTATCAGTTTCCTCTCCCTCCTCATATGGGTGTTGATTCTAGTTCTCTGCTTCAGATGACCCTGAAATTAACAGCCAGCTGGCTTCACTGGAAGCTGGTGCAATTAAAATATTAACCATGCTACCTATTAATATGTTTTCTGATTATTGCTGTTTCATAATTGCTGGATACTCTTTTGTATCCTTCAGGTCTTATACAAAGAGGGACTGGGAAAAGGTACCCCTATACCCATCACTCCTGAGATAGAGAGAATCAAACGCAATCAAGAACACATTAGCTCGGTATTCAAAAAAAAAGAGAAATTATACCTAATATTTTAAAAATAAGTTGTTGTGTGAATGATCTGTGCTTTCTAACTGTTGGAGTCTCAATTTTACCCTTAAAACAAGGTTCTGACCTTTGGAATCCCTTCTTCAACCTAAATCTTCTACTACTGCTACCACTGTTTCTACTACTAAGAATGGATTCATTACATTTATTTTTCAGCAAACCAGTGTTTTCACCTTCCTTTCAGCTTTTCTATCTTTCTTATCCTACTAGAACATTTTCTTGTGTAGATGTTGATTAAAGGTCTCTGTTCCAGATGACCGTGAAATCAACAGCTAGCAAGCTTCCCTGGAAGTTGGTGTGATCCAAGTATTAACACCATAAGTTATTAACATCTTTTGATGAACATCGCTGTTTTGTAATTACTAGATTACTTTTTTTATATCCTGTAGGTGTTGTACAAAGAGGACATAGGGAAAGGAACTCCTACCCCTGTCACTCCAGAGATGGAGAGAGTCAAACGCAATCAAGAACATATTAGCTCGGTATTTAAAAGAAAGAGGCAACGGAATGAATGGCATAAAATAATATTAAACCTATTAGAGCTTTGTGTTTTCTAACTGAACTATAGCTCCCATTTCTTGCTCTTGGCATAAACCATCTACCTTTTGAACTCTTTCTGCAACTTAACTTTAACATATTCCCAGAAACATTTGAGTTACTATTTTATTCAGCAGAGTGTTTGATTGGCATGTACTGTCTATCAGCTTCTTTATCCTACTAGATTGTTTTCTATCTGGTTGTTGACTGAAGATTTCTGACACAAATCAACAGCCAGTTTCTGTACTGAAAGCTGGTGTGCTCCTGGCATTAACACTGTAAACTCTTGAAATATCATTTTGGTTGTTGCTATTCTATGGTTACTGGACACCCATTTTTTACCTTGTAGGTTTTGTACAAAGAGGGTTTGGGGAAAGGTACCCCAATACCTATCACTCCTGACATGGAGAGAGCGAAGCGCAATCAAGAGTTCATTAGCTCGGTATTTTAAAAACAATTTTTTTTGATATAATAAAATATAACATGCTAACAAAACTTCAGAAATTTTGCCTTTTGTATCTAAAAATATCCCTGAAGTAAAATACTGATATATTGATCACTTACCTTCTTCTCATAAGAGATCTGTGATATTAATATTAATATTCAACTATCAGTTTTTGAAGAATTTTCATAATCTAGCAGTGATGGCAATAGGACTCTATCCAGATATTACTACATGCTATGATTTCTGGTCCAGATAACTTGTTCTTGAGAAGAGGTTTATGCAGATAACTGTTTTGTAAGAATCAAAATAATGGATGAACTTAAAATATAAGCTCATCCAGTTTGATGACTATGAAAGGTGGAGTCAGACAAACACATGGTTAACATTTCTATATGCACCTCAGCTGCTGATTATCTAAAATTGCACAGCAGAGAAAACACAACATAATCAGAGTTTTGTTCTGGAACTGATGTAATGAAATGTGGGAATGAGTTCTTGCTGAAAACAAGATTTAGGAAAAATGAAATAACTTAGACTATCAGTGCTTTGTTCTGTAGAAATTATAATTGCAATGGTATGTAGTCTGAATTCCTAGGATGCAGGGGCTGTTGAGGGCAAAGAGGAAAGTTTGCTCAGCAGGAAGAAAGGTAAAATGTCTCCTCCCTAGTTTTTCCTAGAGTATATCTGTAGTTATGTAAATGCTTTCTTTAGTCTGGCAAGTTTCTGTCTATTGGTGAAGAAAAGGAAACCATTAGAGGAAACCATTCAGAAGTAACTCTGCAAGTTATCGTGGTTCTTGGGACCTAACATGGATTTCAATGTATTCTTCTGTAGTAGTTCATGCTCTTGAATTTTTTTTAGCATGCTGTAGTGAGGAATGCAGAGAAATTATATCATATCCAAACTAAAAATAAATAGAAACTTAATGTACCAATAGAAGAGAATCTATGTAGCTCAAGATTAAACTGTGGAGTCCTTAGTGCTTTCTGAGCTTGGTTATTTGTTTGCTGATCTTTCATCACCCAACTAGTAACATCTTCAGTGTTAGAGGGTGTGGTATTTGCTCTGTGTTTCTATACCATAGCTTGCCCTGCCAGTGTTGGTGGGGGCATGGTTTTTGGCTTGGTAATATACTGGCAGGGAAAGCTACTGTTATATAAATAGGGAGCAAACTAGCACTGATGATGTTACCTAGTCGAATAATGAGACTTCTGCAAGCAAGACTTCCAAGCTCACAGCTCACCAAGGACTCCATAGAACCTTAATATCGGTAGGAGTAAGCTATGATCAAAAGTATCTACAGGAATGAGAATGAAGTTGGTATGGAGAACTATACACTGTGCATTCCCTATGAGAAAAACATCTCAAGGTAATTTCCTGTTGTGTGGTTTATACTGAGCAAGCAATTGCTAGCAAACAGAAGTTATTTGATTATTATTCTATTAGTGAGATAACCACTATTGGACCATTATTTTAACCATAAATACTTCATAGAAAACAACCATTACACAATGTAATGGATCTTGCTAACTGGATAGAATCCTTATCTTTAAAATAATATTTTCTGTATTAATCATCTCACTTTCTTAATTTTTCCTTCTAAATGCTGCTACTTGAATGTTGCCTTTATTAATTTATTTCCAAATATACTACAATTTCTCTTTGTGAATTTCTCATAGAATATTTGTTCATATACTGCAGAGATCCCTATAACAAATAACTGAGGTTTAATTCAAGCTCCTCTTTGCCTTGTGTTCATATTGCAGTTTTATTATATGTCTTTGATTTCATAAGAATCTAAAACCATGTAACTGTGATCAATGAAGTATGTTTTCCTAACTTGTGTGAAATAGAGGAAAAGATAACTATATCTCAAATGACATTTCGTTTTTATTAAGTTTATCTTGGACATCATGAAGTTTTTATCATTATTTTTATATATTTTTGTATTCTTTTCAGATAAAGCCTTCTAGCACATTTTTTTTGCAAAAGGAAAAGAAGCTAGATTTTGTATTTAGATTATATTTTTGTGAATTTTTGTGATTGTGTGATTTTTGCATACTTTTACAATCTTTAGGTTATCTACAAAGAAAATTTGGGGAAAGCAACCCCAACACCAGTTACTCCTGAGATGGAAAGAGCCAAACGCAATCAAGAAAACATTAGCTTGGTATTCGGAAAAAAAATGAAATAACTTAAAATAACAAATTTGATCAATCTTGTCCTGCATCTAATATAGCTCAATCCCACTCATTTTACATTTTTTAAACACAACACTCCTTTTATTCTCATTTTTGTTCTTCTTCTTGATTTTATTTCACCCTGTAACTTTTTAACAATCTTGTTTCCTGGGTTATGTGTCTACTTATGTAGTGATTACGCTCTTACTTCATAGTAATCCAGTTTAAAAAAAATTGTTCACAAACGAGCATTTAATCTTTGCTTTTTGAACACTTTCTTGTATCCTGTGTAGGTTTTGTACAAAGAGAGCCTGGGAAAAGGAACCCCAACTTCCATCACTCCAGAGATGGAGAGGGCCAAACGCAATCAAGAAAATATTAGCTCGGTATTTTCAGGAACAACCAATTTATATTTTATATATTTTATATATATATATTGTTTACACTTATACATACATTATTTCTGTAATGTTCAACATAGTTCCAGGCTAATAACTGCATTAGTGTTATAGCATTATGTTGGCATTTAGAAATGAATATATTACCTAAGCCTATGATCTGGTTTTTAACTGTGTCATGTCACTACTTAAGCACGGCATAAGGATTTTTAAATTGCCACTGCCTTCAGTAAACACTTGACTTAAAAAAGAAAAAAAGATAGCCTTTATATTATTCATGTTACATGGATCAAAATGATCTTTGCAATTTAGACTTAAAAACAACAACAACCCAAGCCTGCATTCTTCGAATGTATGTTTAGAAGGAAATGTAAGATTTCCTCAGGGTGCCTTGAAGCAGTTCTTTAAAAATATTTTAGACAAAACTCTAAAATGTTTTGTGTAAATGTACAAAAGCGTTTGAGCCACATTGAGATGATGGTGGAGCTACTTCAAACATATATATTGGTTTCCTATGGCTTTTATCATTCTCAGAAGACCAATTCTGGACTACATGATCTGCTCTCCCCTTTTGGGCCTTATGAGTACTAATCACAGAGTTGGTTTCCATCTGCTATAGGGTATCTCTTCCTTACAACTCTTCATAATCTAGGAGCAAGCGAGGCGACCCTTGTCTTGAGTATATCACTTGTGCCTCAGGGTTACATGGAAAGAGTTTCCAAGTGCTTTTGCGGGCTGTCAAATCATGATAGAAGCCCCACTGCCTTTGGAGCAAACAAAATCTAAAGATGGCACTTTTTCTTGGAATGGCATAAGGTTGATTTGAGTGCCTGGCTATTGTATTGCACCATGTTGGAAATAGAACATGTTGATAAGCAGAAGGTCTTAGAACCTTCTATTAGCCATGCAGAAAAAAAAACCCACCAAGGTCTGAGATAATAGAAAACACCTGTCTGTGTTCTGTTGCTGTTGTTTTGAAAGCTATCTCCTTAAAACCCTTCAGATTGAACAGGTTAAGAGATTATATAGATTTTTTTTTTTAAAAAAGCAATATTACATGCCCAATAACTTTTTAAGATCAAGAGTTGGTAAAGAATAAATGTTTCTGATATGCTCCTAACCTTGTTTGCATGTTTGGCATTTCTTGATTCCCTACAGCTTCTAAATGAAGCATCTCTTAAAAATCTGTTCACTAATAGCTGTGGGCATTGATTCAATCTTTCTAATATTGTCAGATCCTCTATTCGGATAGCTTCCGGAAGCAAGTACAAGGTAAAGCACCCTTTGTCCTGGATACTCCTGAAATGAGGCGAGTTCGAGAGACACAACGGCACATTTCCACAGTGAGTACTGCTTTCTATGAAAGCCAAGAAATAGCCCAAGTAAACTATTCCTAACATATTTTAAGGTACAGCAATTCACATGTAACATCCAAAGCAAAAAATAAAATCAGCTTCTGGAGTTTGGACAACTTACAGTAGACATTTTTATAATTTCAATGGGTAAGCAGATATTAAGCACTTACTTAAGATAGTTTTCCCCAACTTGGTGCCTTTCAAGGCAAAATACTATGGAAGCCTTATTTAATCAGCAAAATCCATTTTGGGGGAAATAATTCCTAGTTATTAGAGGCTGAAAATTATGGGTGTTGTACCCCACTTATTAACTCTTACCAGGTTGAAGAAAGCTATCTCAAATATGACTATCTGGAATGAACTTGTATTTTTTTTTAATTCCAGGTGAAATACCATGAAGACTTTGAAAAGACCAAAGGTAGCTTCACACCTGTTGTCACAGACCCCATAACAGAACGTGTAAAGAAGAATATGCAAGACTTCAGTGACATTAACTATAGGGGCATTCAGAGAAGAGTTGTAGAAATGGAGCAGAAACGAATTGGTCAGGATCAAGAACTGAATAATCTAACAGGTATATCTTATATTGTATGCATTTTCCTAGACGAAGCATACAAAACTATAATGCCTTGCGTCAAGATATGCGGCAGAGAATTAATTTTACCAAATACATTTTTTAAAAAAAGTTGATTTATTTCGAGAGTTTACCTGCACTAAAATTTACGCTATGTCTAAACCAAATCTGCTTGTAAAATCCATTCTTCAGAGCATGCAGACATTATTCTGCACATCGGTGAGTTTATATTGAACTCATCTATTGAGTTAATGGTCTATTCCAGATTCAATTGTTTGGACAGTATCTTAGATCATCTAACCATAATTGTTTGTCTGTTATGTTTACAGAGACATAACTAATAAACTCATTTTCTAAATGTGGCTTGTAAAAACGACAAGCATTCATTTACTTACATTTTGACTGTTTGATCGCAAACTAAAACCGCAATAACACAAAACAACATCCCACTCTCATCCTACGTTTCTGCAGGCCTTCGTGTATGGCGAACCAATCCTGGATCAGTCTTTGACTATGACCCAGCAGAAGATAACATTCAGTCGAGAAGCTTACACTTGCTGGCAGGTATGTTGTGCTGTCTGTGAAATTGTGAGCATCATACCGATAGAAAAGAATATTTGAGCTTCATTATGGATGAAACACAAAGTATCAGCTTATGGTTCTAGCTCTCTCTAAATGCAGCTTTATTTTGTTAGGAATTTAATATATCTTACTTTCCTGCTAAGTAAGAAACCACAGTGTTCCCCCCTCACTATTATTTCTTCATCTCTGGCTCCCAGTTCAAGCCCAGCGACGTAGCCGAGACCATTCACGTTCTGCCAGTGCTGTCAGTCTCAGTGGTGGGGATGAAAAATCTGAGCATTCGGAGACCGCTGATCAGCATTTGTCATATTACAGCAATGGAGGTTTCTTTCCTACGACTACAACAGGTAAACACATAAATTAATATGTGTATGTATGCATGTATGGATGGATGGATGGATGGATGTCCAAATGCAAAATAGAAGTAGAGGAGTTTCAGTTTTAGTTTCATAGCTCTAAGCAGCTTTAGTACAGAACGGTTGAGCTAAGCCACGCCCAGGCTCCTTGCTGTCTCCTTCTTGCTCACACAGCAAATACTGTTTCACTTTCCAAACAGCCCACAAATCTCTCACACACTGACAGGACGCTAGCTAGATTAATACCAATGGGTGCTGGTAGGCAGAGGCAGAATTTCCCCCCTTATTTTCCTCCCCAAAAACTAAGGCCGACCACATAGTTTCGTGTAATAAACTGAATTGAGTTGAATTGATACATAAGGGTTGGTTATAGCATGATACCACCTTCATCAGAATGTAACATATAATGACCAAAATTTATTTAATGTACAATAGTGATTCTTTTCAGTCAAGTACTAAAAAGTAGCAACAATTGCATGCCCAAAAGAAGAAAAAATGTTAGTATCATCTCTGTGGGCAAATATTCTTTTACATTTTTTTTACGAAGAGATGTTCTTACAATAAATATATCAGTGCTATATTAATGTATAGCCTCAACCACTGACAATACCCAGTGTTCAAACACCATTTAACCATGTATTTTAAAAACATACTAGGGTGGGGTTTTTTTGTTTGTTTTTTGCTTCTTCTGATACATTTCAACTTCGTTTCCTTCCTTAGTGGATTACAAACATGCCAAAACTGTAGAGCTGCCACAACAAAGGTCATCATCTGTTGCGACTCAACAGACTACAGTATCTTCCATCCCCTCTCATCCATCTACTGCAGGGGTAAGCAAATCTGACAAAAGTATCTATAAAAACGGTGTTTTCTGCAGGGCAGAAGGTATTTCTGAATTGAGCCTGTGTACAAGTGAGTCCACCACAAGCCAATGACCTCATCAAAATGGTGGAGCCTGATTCGTGACATCAAGCTTTGCTCCTTACATGCTTACATATTTAAGGTCTTGATGGCAAACTGTAATGGGGAAGAAACTTGGATTAAGTTATGTTACATTTTATCATTAACTCATCATTGTCTGCCCTGTGTAGAAGGGCTGCCATTTCTTAGGAGAAAAATAAAAACCTTCACACGTCTGAATGGATGGTCATCTTTGGGATGATTTTTATTCATTTGAGGGACTGAGGTGTATTATTAATGTGTTTGGGAGGGAGGTCTTTATATTCAAAGTTTCACAGAAGTGTTGAATGGATGGTTCCTGTATTCTTGTGTTTATGCTAGTAACATTTGGGCATTATTTTTCTCTCTTAATATGACCACAACAGAAGACTTATCGTGCTATGTATGACTACACAGCAGCGGATGCTGATGAAGTCTCTTTCAAAGATGGTGATGCAATCGTCAACGTCCAAGCCATCGATGAAGGATGGATGTATGGAACTGTGCAAAGAACAGGCAAAACCGGCATGCTTCCAGCCAACTACGTAGAAGCAGTTTAAATGGAGGAGACTCACACTGACATGGACAATAAGAGGGCCCTTTATGCCACATCAGTTCAGTACAATTCATAAGTCGCCAAAGACCCTTATTGTTTTCTCTCTCTTGATACAGGTGAAGAATTGTCTGGCATCTAAAACTTTCAGGAAACATTATCAATCCTAGTTTAACTAGGTGTTTTAAGAGAGTTTTGGGTACCCGAAATTCAGGACGTCACCCCTCTTTTAATCCATCCGAATTTGCACGATTCAGTTTACTTTCATGAATCATGGAATTGTGTTTGTTGACGTGGTTTTGTCTTCTCAAGAGATGCAGTGATCACAGACGATAAACACAACCGAATGTATCCATGTCTGTTTCTAGTATACAACACCTTAAACTAGTTAAAAGTGGAAAGCCTCTCGTCTGCTCTACTTAAGAGAATGCTGATGTGATGCATGCATTTTTAACCTGCGTGTTCTTGGGTCGCAGTGGTGTTAATTTTCTCTCAAATTAGTGACTAATAAATGTCATGTTTCCGCAAAATCTATTATGTGCTCTTATTTCTTCATTTTATATACTTATTTGCTTCTCAGAGTTCTTGCTGGTGTCACTACAAGAGTACAATAAAATTATCCAACATCCATAATATTAATACTGAAAGAATTTAAAATGCAAATTAATTCTAAAACTATTTGATGCTAACATGCAGTCCATGAACTTGAAAGTGTCCATCCATCGACCTCCAGAAGCTTGCCAAGGCAGTCCCCTCTTTAACATTTTCTGAAAATCCATTACCATAGGGAGCAAGTCTAATACCCAAGGGGTATCCCATAGCATGAGCCATTACACAAACACCAACACTTCCTCCTGACCTCAGCCTCCCTTACTTCATAATAGTAGGGAAACCAAAAATATTATCCACATGTGTACACATCAAGCAGGAAATTTCTGGCTGGAGACTGTTCAAATCATATATGGCTTCATGAGGCTTTAAATGGCAGCCAGAAGCTGTGAGCAACCAATGCAGTCTATTTCTCACAGCTAATGACTAGAGGCCACTTCAGTTTGCACCTATTGTAGCTTTCAAGAGGCAGATCCATGTACATGGGATACATTACTCCTGTGAGATATTCCATTCCAGATACAGCTACAGTTAGTGCAGCACCTAAGGCCGGGTAAAGGCCCTACTGACCATGCCTTCCACCTGCCCGTCTAGCAGTAGCTTTGAGTCCAGGAAGCCCCGCATGTGATAGTCCTGCCCATTAGCCGTGCTTCCCGGTGAAAAGATAATGCCAGAGATACCCAGTAGGCAAGTTGCCTCTCTCTCTTGCTTGGGTTAAACCTGGTTCGCTCCACACAAAGACCCCAACAGCCTCCAGGTAACAGGACAAGACTTTGCATCATGGGTTTAGCTCAGAAGGACGTATTTGCAATTGGGTATCACCAGTATAATAATGACACTGCATCCTGAAACAGCGGGTGCAACTCTTCTAGGAGACTGGAAGCATGTTTCCCCATTTACACAATTTTATTAAAAGCTTTAAGTTGAGGAGCTGCATCTCACTTCATCAATTGCAAAACTGATGCTGGATTAAAACTAAATTGGGGCCAGAGTGATAAAGATAGGCTGATTACCCAGATGCAAGCAATGCAGGAGACAATTAGAAATAACTTCCCCATTAACAATTATAATGTGTTAAAAATCAATTCTTTTAACCTTTTAACATATGTTGAGTTCAGCAATCTCTTGGTAAATTAATGGTCACTTTGAAATCTACAACAGGGAATCCTGGGGGCGGGGTTAAACTCTGATGCAGACTTCCAAGAGATCATTTTGGAAAAATGATTCCTTTAATTGCATAATTGAAGAGATTGTTGAACCAACATATATCAAGATTTCAGGCTATCTCAAAAGGCCTCATCAGTTGGAATCTGGCAGAATGTTCGTATTTTCACATTGACGTTTTAAACAACCGGGGCTTCCTTCCTTAAAGTACAATCTACTTCACTGGAGTTTCTTAGGTTACTGCTTTCAGAATCAAAATCTCAAACTCACTATACTAAGATTTTCCTGCTTCCCAACAGCATCCTGAGAACAGTAATTTTAGCTTTCTCCCTAGATTTTGGCCTCTTTCCTCCAAAATAAGTGATTTACAGCAGTGGTGGGATTCAATTTTTTTTTTACTACTGGTTCTGTGGGCGTGGCTTGGTGGGTGTGGCAGAGGAAGGATACTGTAAAATCTCCAGTCAGAGGTGCTATTTGCCAGTTCTCCGAACTACTCAAAATTTCCGCTATCAGTTCTCCAGAACTGGTCAGAACCTGCTGAATACCACCTCTGATTTACAGTCTCCCAAAGTCTCTCTGGTAGGCCACCTCTTCTGTCACCTGAGCACTACCAATATATTCAATTTTTTTCAACCAACACGCCTTATTTTTGTCCTCTATGATTACTTCTCATTGTCAGGCTTTTGATCCTTAATTAGCATTGAGGGTAATACAGTATACTTCACAATGACTATATTCCATTTGTAGCAGTTTCTCCTCCTCATGATTAATGGGCGCAGTCAACATGTATTAATTTGTCTTAGCTTTGTCTTCCTTAGGGAGGCAAATATGCTTGCTGTAACAAAATAATAGAACAGAGGGATTAAAAGGGTCAAGCAAAAAGCAACAATTATTTCAGGTCAGTAAATTACATGGATACTAAATTTTGCCTTGCATTTTTAAGGGGTTTGTTGAGTCTAATTTATAATCCTCATATGACGATTGCCATATTTTTGAATGATGAGCATAGGTAGAGATGTTACAAATGGTAGAAACGGTGAGATTACACGATAACAGGAAATTAAAACTTCAATAAATAGGAGTGCTGAATTGACATAATCTTTGATATCCTATTCAACCTATTCTATAATATCAAACAAGTGGGAAGCAATAACAACTAAAGGTAAAAAAACTCAAGAATCCTCATCAAAAACCAAGAGGATTAGATGATTGTTCTGAGTCATTTCCAACAGCTTTGGGAATAGATGAAAGACGACATTGTTTAATAATATTTGCAAAAATGGCTGATAAAATTCCTTTATGGCTTGTTCTCCCTTCAATATTGAAAGCATATTCCTAATTTAATGATAGTCTTTGATTCTCTTGAGGTTCTCTCATACCCTATCATTCATTAACAATTTATGCTGAAAAACTAAAATTGGAATTAAATTAGCATATATTCAGAGAAGGTGCAACTGCCAGATCAATTTGGTTTTAAAATCCATTTCTATTAACCTTTACAAAGGCTCAGATCTATTGATTCACCCTTGTCCCTTTTTTCTGCAATAAAAAATCAACAATTTTGCCATGTCAGTCATTAATACATGGTTTAAATGCTGTTTTAAAAATATATTTTCATTGAAACTGATTTTAATCTTAACACAACACAGTTCTTCCCCAAAATAACAACCATTTCATTCAACAATTTATATATTTTATTTATATATATTTATTTCCTAAAACATAAATCGATCCCATTGTTAGGTCAACTTTAAAAAACACAAATATGCTCTATACAAAGTTCCTCCCATTCAAGCATGTTAGAGACTCTGCCTTTCATACAGATATAATTTAGAACATTTGCATTTAGTACATCTATACATAATATACAAAATTATTCGTATGTCCAGTTTATATAGGACTTATGAATGGGGCAAATAAAACCTTTGTGGTATATAAAAATTCAAAGAGCATGTGGTCAGATCCTGAGAATTACTTATTGGAATTATGTACTGACACACTTTTTTCTTTTGCATACTACATTCATGAAAAAATATACTATGTCCTATGAAAAAGTTTGAGATATTTTTAGAATGCTAATGAAGCACCATACTTCTTAATATGATAATGAAGCTATAAAACTAGTACCTTCCAAACTACTATCAGTTGGAAGATTTGTATCACTTTTGGTAAATTAACACTTCAAACTTTAGTCAGAACAACAAAACCAGGGCTTTAAATATTGGTGATGCATCAAAGCCCTTTGATTTAAAATACTTAACATTTAAAAAATATACTGCTCTGTATTGTGGCATGTTTCACAGTCATTACTGCACATCTTACCACATTTTGGAAGTTGTGCATAGCAGCAATTTAAAAAAAAGAAAATATTAAAATGCAAGTCTACAGAATTTAGAAATTTAAAATTTATACTCCAATGCTGTATTTGCTTCAAGTTACAGGAATCCCTTTTACTTCAAATATGTAATGAAACTAAATATTAACCTCAAATTTAAACCTTTTAAAACCAAAACTGCCCTCAATCAAATCTATTCTTCAAAGAACTTAAATCAAGAGTAACTGCTTTTTTTTTAAACAGTGGATTCGCAAGATCTCGAAAGCATCCAACGGGACTTCAGAGTTTTCATGATGCAGTCTGTAACGGTATGAAGTTTCTCTTGCATTTCAAAGAGTTCGTTCCCTGAATAGTTTCGAAGTCTTTCAGAAGTAATTTGCTCAGCAAGTAGATTTACCTGAGCCCAAAGGTCTATTGCTGATGACTCACCCGTACTGGAGACCTCCGTTTCACATACGTCTAAAATGAAAGAAAACTGGTTTGTAAAAAGACATTCTAGGTGAGACCAAATTAAAGCCATTTCAGATGTAGATAGCATGTAACTCTTGCTCTTGTAACTAACTGTGTAACTATAGACCAGGACTGTCAAACTCCCGGTCCTTGGGCCAGGTACATCACATGCTGGCCACGCCCACGCCCGGTTTTGCAAAAGGGAAAAACATTCTGATACCTCCCATGGCGCTGCTGTGAAGCTGTGAATTTGACACCCCTGCTATAGACAATTGACCCACTAACTGGAGAGATTTAGCCAGCAAAATAACTTAAGTCTGGAATGCTAGCATATCAGAGCAATTAGCCTTTCTTTTTATGGTCTACCTCACAAAAGCTGGTTAGTGTTCTTGTAACACACACACACACACACACACACACACAGCCAGCAATCAGGCCCTACAAGCTAATCACAAAGTTTTATCAATATTATTTTCAGATGAAATGTTACTAAACGTGTTTCTCACAAAATAAGGCCCGGCCTTATTTTTTTTGACCCCCCAAAAAACGGCTAGCCTGTCTTTTCGGGGGTGACTTAATTCCCCCCCCCCTTGCATCCTCGAGCGGGCGGGCGGCGATGGCTTGGATGTTGACCTCAGCGTTGGTGGGGCACTTCATATTGGGAGACCTCCTGCCACCGTTGCTTTCCCTTCTCCCTGTGCTGCCGCGGTGTTTAGAGCAATGCCGCAGCGTTTGGCGCAGCCATGCAGCGCCGGTCAGAGCTCCTCCTTGCAACCGGAGCCCAACAGAAACACTCGGCTTCTGTTGCCGAGTGGCAGAGCTGGGAAAGCGAGCCGCGGGTGTGCGCCCGCCTGCCAAGCGAAAGAGCCGCGCTGAGCTTGGCTTCCTTCCCAAGTTCCTCCAACCCAAGCCCGAAGGGGCCACCGGGAGAGGCCACCCAAGGCAGTGATAGCACCCACCCATCCGTGGACA